GAATTACAGGTGTGTCCCACCATGTCCAGCCTCCTTCTTAAACCCAGAGACTCTTTTCAGTTGCTCCTTCAACACCAAGCAGGGATGTCTCTTTTCAGTAGTTTTTCATATACATACATACACACATACACACACACACACACACACACACACACACACACACATATATATATATGAAATTTTATATATATATATATAATTTACAAATTGTATTTATTTTGTGCACGGGAGGTGCTAGACTGGGATTGATGGAAGTGATCCCACCCCCATGGTGGGATTGTTTTTGTGTACCATAGCATTTGTGTGGAAGTCAAAGTACAACCTATGGAGTAGGTTCTTTTTCTGCAGGAGTAAGCAAGGTAGTCAGGTTTGGTAGCAAACACCTTTATCTCTGAGCCATCTGGCCTGCCTGGGATTTTTCAAGTACTCCTACTACTAATATTAACATGCACCCCATGAAGCCCACCCGGTTAAAATGTGTGACTCTTGTGTAACCGTTACTGCAGTTGAATTTGAGAATGTTTCAAAAATTTTGAACATCTGTATGTTCAGAAAAAGAATCTCTATGGCCCTTACTAAGTCTCTCTCCATTGCACAAGGAGAGTGGGATTTGGGTTGGTTGTCTTGGAACCCCAGCTTGGCAGAGTAGTGCCTGTCTGGTGACTGGCTGCTGGGAACTTTCCCACCAAGGGGTTTATGTTGTAAAAGAACATCTTACTGCAGAGAGATAATCAACCCAGCCTGGAGATCTATAGCTCAGTTGGTTTTAGTGCTTCCATAGTATGCACAGAGCCCTCAGTTCAATCCTCGGCACCGCATAAAAACAGCCTGCTGCCTCACATCTATAATATTCCAGTATTCAGGAGGTGGAGGAATGGTTAGAAGTTCAAGACCAGCCTCGGTTACATAACACATCGGGAGCCAGACCCTATCTCAAAAAAAAAAAAAAAAAAGACAAGCCAAATCATATAGTCTAGTACCCACCTATATTGTGAGGCAGGGACAGAGATATTCACAGAAAGTAAAAGAAAGCTAGGGATGTGGTTCAGTTGGTAGAATGCTTTGCCTAGCCTGCATGAAGTTCTGGATTTGATCCTCAGTACAATAGGAAATCAGGCAGAGGACCAGCAAGACTGCTCAGCAGGTACTAATGCTTGCCTACTGACTTGAGTTCTTTCACTGGAACCCATGGTGACTGACACAGGCTTATTCCTTAGGAAATAGCACTTAGGAAACAGAAGTAGGTGAATCTCTGTGAGTTCCAGACCAGCCAGGGCTACATAGGGAGACCTTGACTCAAAAAAAAACAAAACCATCACCACCACCAACAAAAACCTGGAGACAACAGCACCCCCAACAAAAACAACCTTACCTGCTGTGAACTAAACGTTACTTTCTACATTTTATTTTATAATCCACACTGTTGTCTATAATCTCACATTGTCTGGCACCAGATAATTTGTTAATTAATGTTAAGTATTTTATTATTTAATATTAGCTAATTAATTAAAAAAAAATCTTCCCGTATGCCAAGCACTGATATGGTACAGAAAAAAAAAGACTCAACTCCTGGGGCCTTTAAGAAATTCTAATGAAAAGAGGGACAATAAATATGATAAATAAGGAAATTATCTTGCATAGTAGAAGAGGTTAGGCACACAGCAGGTGCTCAATTTGTGTTAGCTATTAATAGCAAGTCATTAACTCCCTGAATGCACCTCCATATCCGGTTGGGGAAGGGCCTTCCAAGAGTGCACCATAATGGTGTTTGCCACACTTTTCACTAGAAACTGGGAGGAGTGGCAGGGGGCAGGTGGTGGGTTCCAGGGGTCCCTAGCAGATTTTGTAGAGTTGGAGGAAGTGAGGAGGGATGGGGGTGGGGGGAAGGCCTTAGGTGGAGGGATCCCTCTTTGAAAGGGGCCACTGGAAGTGCCTACCCACAAAGGGGATGCAGGGTGAGGAAAGTAGGCAGAGAGCGGGGCTTTGGAGTATCCCAGTGTCTGGACCCAGAGAGGGAAGAGTCTGCAGAGGCGATGAGAGACAGAACCAGGAGGGCCTCAGTGCCGAGGCCCGAGTAGTGGAAGAACCCAGGGGCTGGGATAGTGGTGGCAGTGGAACAGGTGGAAAGGAGACGTCAGGTTCTGGTATATTCGGAAGGAAGGTGGAACTGAACAGCTTCCTTTCAAGATTAAAAGGACAGGGGGTCAGGACAGAATGACTCTTAAATTTCGGACTAGAGCAGAGCAGCTGCAAATCTTGAGGTGCTGTGACTAGAGGTGGGGATAAATACGAGAAGGGCGCCTCCCCAAGGTGCTGGCGACTACCACAGTGACGAACGGAGGTCGGGGGAGGCCGAGTTGAGCCCCCAATATGGCCACTCAAACCCATCTTTGTGATACCCCAGGAAGGCTGGGGCTGTAGTCTCCGTGTCTCTCGTTCACAAGGAACAGAGAAAAGAGTGAGGGGACTGGCCCCGGGCCCCTCGGCAGGAACGGTAGAGACAGCACAGATCGGCGCTTCAGCTCTCTGCGCAAGTTACACAGAGCCCTATGTAGAAGTGCTGCTGGAGCATCCCCAGAGAGCTCTGGGGACCCTGGGGTCACCGGCTCAAGCCGCCTCAACCAGTCGTCTAGACTCGCATCTCCGACCCAGGAAGGCAGGAGTCCCAGGAAGGCGAGCAGAAGCGGGCTGGGCACACGGGGTCCAAGAGAGAGGGAAGGGTACGGAGTTGCTCCAAATACGAGAGCTTGCGGGCCCCTTCCCAGGGTTAGCCTCAACAACTCGCCTGGTCTCCGCACTTTTCCGTGTCAGAGTCAGGTGAGGGGGAAAGCTCCGGGTTGGGGAAGGGCGACCCTAATCCATCGCCGCCGCCGCCGCCGCCGCCGCCGCCGCCGCACTCCTCCACTTCGGACGCAAGTTAGAACGGCGGCGGCGGCGGCGGCGGTGGCGCCCTGGTTCTCCTCTCTCCTCCTCCCACCTCGGGAAAGAGCCCTGCTTCCCGCTCAGCGCGGCACTCGACGGAGGTGAAGCGAGTGCGAGGCGTGCGCCCCCCGACAAGGCAAGGACCGCGAAGGGGCCCCTGGAACCCCGCGCCAAAAGACGTCTGGGCCAGGAATGCCAGCGTCCCACTTACCTGTGTGCCCGGAGTGGCGGTCCGCTGAGGGGCGGCAGGCTGCTCTGACCGGACAGTCTGGGGGCTACGATGCTCCCTACCCCCAGCAGCGGCGGCGGAGGGCGGGGATGTGGGCTCGCCCCCTCCCACCTGCCCGACCCCTGACCCCCCGCCTTCTCCCCTCAGCCGTCGCACAATGTGGAGAGCAAATGTGGGCGGGACCTCCACCTGCCCCTCTCTACACAGCACCCCCCTCTCCGGCCCGCCCCTCCCTCGCCTGGATTGCTTGCTTTAGGGTTGCTTCAGCTTGGGCCATTTGTGCGTGTGTATAGTGCTGTGTCAGGATTTGACCTGGAAGACCCCATTTTGGAAACCATTTTGTGGTTTTTTTTTTTTTGACCCAGAGAACTTGTACAACTTCAGCTGGGTTTCTAGGTAGCTCTGAGGTAGGTTGTGTCTGTCCTGAAGGGAAACAGTTGTAGAGGAAGGGCTATTTTGTGAGGGCAGAAAGAACCTGATCTGAGGCAGAAGTGCAAGTTATAAATCCCTCAGACTCTCTTGCAGCTATGGCAATCATAGGCTAGAATTCTGAGCAAGTAAGGCAGGGCATCTGTAATGCTTTCCCAAAAGGGACTGGAATGGGTTGTGACTTAGCTCAGTTGGTAGTGCTTGCTAAGCATGTAGGCACTGCCTAAAATGTATGAAGTGCTGTCATCCCAGCATTAGGGAGGTAAAAGCAGAAGGCTCAAAAGTGCAAGGTTAAGGCTGAAGAAATGGCTCAGTGGTTAAGAATACTTTTTGCTCTTCCAGAGGACACAGGTTCGATTCCCAGCACCCACACAATGGCTCAAAACCATCTGCAACTCTAGTTCCAGGGTTATCTGTCACCCTCTTCTGGCCTCTGTGGTACCAGACATGCACATGGTGCAGAGACATACATGCAGACAAAACACTCATACAAAAATAAAATTTAGGGGGCTGGAGAGATGGCTCAGAGGTTAAGAGCACTGACTGCTCTTCCAGAGGTCCCGAGTTCAATTCCCAGCAACCACATGGTGGCTCACAACCATCTGTAATGAGATCTGGTGCCCTCTTCTGGCCTGCAGACATAACACTGTATACATAATAAGTAAATAAATCTTTAAAAAAAAAAAAGAAAATTTAAAAGGATGTACAGGGTCAGAGTCTGAAGTCAGCCTGTTATATGAGAGCCTATCTAAAAAGGGGGTGGGGGGGAAAGAGCTGCCCTTTTCTTCTTTTTGAGTAGGTGAGTCTCTGGAATCAGAAGGTGGCAATGAACAAAATTCCTAAACCATCAGCCAAAGCAATTTTCAGATGTGGAATAAAACTCCAGAAAATCCTCCAGTTATTCAACTCAGGATGCCACCCATACCCACTACGTCCAAGTTAAAATTGAACCTTATCCTCAATGAGATAGATGGGCAAAAAAGCCCACGAGGCTACTTCCTGACAGTTTTCATGTCTTCTCACCCTAGAATTCAGCTGGGATAGGCTGAGACCCTCTGTCTTTGTCTTTAGTAGTTCTGACTGGCCTAGAACTCTGCTATGTAGACCAGGCTGGCCTTGAACTCAGAGCTCCACCTGCCTCTGCCTCCCAAGTTTGGGGATAAAAGGCTTGTGCCACCATGCCTAGTCAGACTCCTATTTCTATAATGGGCAATCATTTTCTCAGGAGTTCTATTAGTTCATTCCCAGTGGAGCCGATCTAGCTGCCTGCTTCCATTTTAGTTAGATTTGGGGGGCGCTGGATGGACAGTTGACTTGATGAAGACCCCCCCCCCCAACCAATTTCTTCTTCCCTCCCTTCCTCCAGTTGTGCTGGCTGGGAATGAGGGGTTTTTCCAAATTAAAAACAGCTTTCTTCAGGTTTTGTAACAACTTAAACTTTATTAAATATGCAAGGCTGCTGTAGCTGCCAGTTGTGCCCTTCAATGTCATCCTGGTGATTGCAGCTCCTTCTTAGGGCTACTAAGTTGTCCCTCTTTCCTTCTGGGGTAGAACAGTGGTGTTCCTCGAGCAGGCAGTGAGCAGGGGCAGAGCTACAACCGAACATCATAGTCTTTTTAAAAGGATTTGCACTTAAACAAGCACCTTGCAAAGGATATTCAGGGATGGGTTTAAGTGAGGCCACCCTCATCCAAGGTACAGGCTGCAGTGAACTAAGCTGCTCTGTCTAAGGCCTCAGAAGGCAAACAGGCAGCAGCAGGTTCTGGGACTTAGTGTGAGTGGGGTATGTCCTCCCCAAACTTGTTCTGGTGGGCAGCGCTCTTCACCTCCTGGAGATCCTGAGGAAGAAGCAAGGACACAGTAGGTAAAAGTGAAGGTGGCTCTATTGCGGTCACGAAGAGGCGGTCGCCACTGTAGCCCTTAACGGCCGTGTCTCACGGACTACTCACACTCCTGCAAACACCCATGGGGCAGCCATGCAAGGAGTCTGTGTTCTCCTCTTACCAAAGGACAGAAGGGATATGGGGTGGGGAGGGACCGGGCTCAGTGTGCATTGGTTAAACCCCCTGCCCAGGCTCACCTGGTGGTGGACATAAGCCTGACAGTGATAACACCAGGTGGACAGGTCAACACAGCTGAGGACTAGTGGGTGTTCCGAAGCTTCGTGGTGGTGGACCATATGGGAGTTGACGTAACGACTGCAGTACACCTGAGGTTGAAAAGGGAGGGTTCAGCCGGATGGTGGCGCACGCCTCGGGAGGCAGAGGCAGGTGGATCTCTGTAAGTTCGAGGCCAGCCTGGTCTACAGTGTGAGATCCAGGACAGGCGCAAAGCTACACAGAGAAACCCTGTCTCGAAAAATCAAAAGCCAAAAACCTAAATAAATAAATAAGGTAGGAAGGAAAGAAAGAAAGAAGGAAGGAAGGGAGGGAGGGAGGAAGGAAAGAAGGAAAGAGAGAGAGAGAAAGAAAGAGAAAGAAAGAAAGAGAGAGAGAGAGAGAGAGAGAGAGAGAGAGAGAGAAAGAAAGAAAGAAAGAAAGAAAGAGCGAGTGAGGGTTGCCTGGCACCGGCTGAAGTTTGCTGCTGGGCCAACCTCTACCCATACCCTTCTTTTGTTCCATACCTGATAGCAAGTCAGGCACACCCAGTTCTCCTGGACCGTTCCACAGGTCTCACATGGTTGGGCCACATCTAGGCCTTCTGCAGGAATGGGGCACACTGCCGTCAAATGGGGACACCAGGATAGTGGGGTCACAGCATAAAATACATCCTAGAGTGGGTAGGTAAAACTGAGTAAGTAAAGGATTCCACCTCTCCACGAACATCACATGCTCCATCTGGAGGCCGGATAGCCAAGGCAGCAGCAGCAGCAGCAGCCATAACCCCAGGCTCTGCCTGAACTCACCTGGCCACTGAAGTTCCCAAATGCCTGTGTCAGCATCAAGCTGTTCATGCTCTGACCTCCAGCTGCTTCTCCTAGTAGGCCCTCCTCGGCTTCAGGGGCCTCCTAGACACAGAAGGAAGGATGTAGCTGAGAATGCCCACTTCTTGCCCTTTCTACCCTCTTCCTGGGTGTGCCAGGCTTTACCTGAGCGCCACCGCTTACTTCCGAACTGCTCAGACTCCCAGTCAGCTGCTCAGGGGACTGCTGGGCTGCGGCTCCCTGCACAGGTGAAGCTTCTGTGCTCTCTTTGTCTCTACAGGAGGCTGGAGGGGTCCCAATTGGCTCAGTTTCTTCTCCCGCAGCCTCCTCTGAGGTGGTCTGATCAGGTACATGTGTGGTTGCTGCTGAGGCACGCTGGTCCACTGCGGTTTCTCCCTCGGTCTCCTTTGAGGTGGCCTGGTCCGGTGGAGCTCCGCTAGCAGCTTGTTCTGGGGACTGGCCCTGAACAAGCACTGCCTTAGCTGTCTTTGATTTAGTATGGCCTAGAGTACATTCTTTTGCAGATAACGTAGTCTTCCTTGGGCCTGCTTCTGGAACCTTTCCTTTTGGTGTGGTCGTTCCCTTAGCTGACACAGGACTGGTCGCTTTGGGCAGCTTCTTGAAGACAGGCTTAGAACTGGAGCATTCTTCCCTGTCTTCCGTCTCTGGAACGATGGAAAAGATACTTGAGTGTGGATACCACCCCCTTTCTGCCTCTAATCCTCCCTCCCTTCTTTGAATTGAATTCCCTTATAGTTTTCAGTTTCTTTCTCTCTTCTTTTCTTTTCTTTCTTTTTTCCCCTTTTTTAGGTTCTTCGAGACAGGTTTCTCTGTACAGCCTTGGCTGTAGACCAGGCTGGCCTTGAACTCACAGAGATCTATCTGCCTGCCTTTACCTCCCGAGTGCCGGGATTAAAGGCCTGTCCCACCACCGCCCGGTCACTCACTCATCATCCGCAAACTGCGCCAGTATTTGCGATGGACTTGGATGGTCTCGTTGATTGAGGCCAGGGCTCCTGGCTGTGGGGGTCGCAGCAAGGTAAGCGGGGGTGGTGGGTCTCCAAGGAGGGAATGGGTGCAGGCAGCCATAGATTCAGAGATGGATGCCAAGTTGTAGCCACCCTTTGTAAAAGAGAAGGAAGAGTACAATGAGGGTCCATCAGGGAATCTGGAGGGTTAGCTATCCTGGCTCTCTAATTGGTTCTCCTCCTTGTTCTAGGGTACTAAAAGTCTATAGAGTGCAGGGCAGAACCAGGAACAAATGAGTGTAACACACATTTGTACAATGGGCAGTACTCACTGTGAGGTGGTTGTTGGGGGAATGTAAACTGTGCTGTCAAGTGCAAGATAATAATAACAACACTGGTAATAGTATTAATAAACAATAGCTTACATTTACTATTTGCTGTGGGCTAGACCCTATTTTAAATATTTTATGCATGTTAACACAATCCTCACAATGACAGATGCTCAATCTGTACAGAAACATGCCCTCATTCCATATCTGTCTTCACACTGTCCAGGAACCCTTGGCCACACATCATATAAAACACAGATTTGACCCACACAAGTGCACATACATGGCAGATCCAAGAGTTCCTCTTGTGACCTGGGACAGGAACAACTAATATTCTTTCTGTATGATCCCCTAACCTGAACTCTTTCCTACTTGATCAAACCTGTTTCTCCTCTTTTTATACATAAGGGAGCCAAGGCCCAGCGCAGTTAGAAGACTTGTTGGAGGTCGCAGCAACTGAAGAAGCAGTGCTGGTATTTAAATGTGCGCTGACAAAATAGTCCACGTTGTTGCTAATATCACCAAGGAATTGAGCCTGGGCCCTTGGTACATGCCAGACATGACATGTTCTACCACTGAACTACTAGTTCATGTTCCTAACCAATACCCTTAACCTTCCATAAGCAGTCCTGGGCAAGCCACAAGTGGGACATTTTGTAAGCCAGTTAAATTCTCTGTGACTTACTGTCCTCATCTCTGAAGACAGCACCCAAGTTTGCTGCGAGGGTTAAGTTACTGTCTGAAAGATGTAACAGCAGTCCTCCTGAATGCTTAAGGGAAGTTCCTTGTCTGTGTATCCTGCATAATGGGCGCTAACAGCTTAGATGCAAGATTATAAAACATCGGTAGCGAACTTCTGCCCTCCGGGGTTCTCCCATTGTGCTGTAAGCCTGTATTTAAGACCTCCTCCCTCCTTCAATAAACCGCATTCGGCATTAAAAAAATAAAAAAAGATAAATTATTACATATGGAAAAAAAAGAAAAAAAAAAAGATGTAACAGCAGGAAGACAGAGCATCTTTACAGTGCACACTGTATGCCAGGAATGCCTCCATAATTAGCCGGCCCCATCTGTAGATCAGGAAACCCAGGCACAGGGGTGGGGGCACCCGTTACTTACAAAAGGTCAGTGAATTTACTCTGTCTCTCTAACATGTTAGGAGCAATTCAGATGTGGTGAAAAGCAGACCTCCAGAGCCAAATGTTCAAGTCTCAATTCTGCCATTATTAAATAAGTGGCCTCAGACTAGTTACTATTCCAATCCATTCTCTGATGTGTTTTTATGGGGGGGGGGGTTGAAACAGGGTTTCATGTAGCCCAGGCTGGCCTCAAACTTGATATGTACCTGAGGATGACCCTGATCCTCCTGCCTCCTCCTCTCAAGTGCTGGGATTATAGGTTTGTGCCACCACAACCCGCTCGTTCCTCTGACCTTGAGAGGAAAATGAGCTGAACAGACTCTACCTCACAGTGCTGTTTTGACAACTAAACTGGAAAGACTGACATAGTCACCTCCTCCCAGCTGCCCTCCCACCTTGACAAGAGGGATCAAGAGAGTTACCTCTAGGACAAGGATAATGCGGCCATTGGCAAGGCCCATCAGCAGGTGAGTAAGGTGGGCATAACCCTCAGGTGTCACTTGGCAGCCACCCAGCGGGTCCCCTTGTGCAGCATCAAAGCCAGCTGAAACCAGCACCAGTTCTGGGTTAAACTGCAGTAAGGAGAGAAGAGAAACACGGGCATCAAGGCTTGGGTGGCAGCAAGTGATGGAAACAAGGACAAACGAAGGCATGGAAATGTAAGTCAGAAAGCAGAGGATGTGAGAACACAGATCTGAAAAGAAGGAGCAGAAGACAGGGAAACCAGGAGAAACAGACATGGACAGCCTGTCAGAGACAAGGGTATACCCACCAGAAACTCAAGATATGTTGGGAGACAGGGGCTGGAGAGATGGCTCAGCAGTTCAGAGCTGGCTGCTTTTCCAGGACTAGGGTTCAATTCCCAGCACCCATATGGCAGTTCACAACTGTCTGCAACTCCAGTCCCAGGGGCTTTGATGCCCTTTTCTGGTTTCCATGGGCACCAGGCATGCATGTGGTACATAGATATATATGCAGGCAAAACACCCAAACACATAACATAAATAAAAGCTGAAAAAGGATATTGGAGACCCGCTACAAACTGACAGAAGGGGGCCTGAGATAGTCATGGGATAGCTATGGGTCACAGAGACAAGGATAAATGGAGACTCAGCTGGTAAGAGACAGTGAGAAGAGAAATGGAGACAGAGCCATGTCCTCTCTCTCACACACAACAAGGGTCAAACATGGGACACACATGCACATGACGCAGGCTTTTATACACATAATATATACTAATACGAGTGTCATACACCCCAACTTCCAATCTTACAACCCCACACTGGCAGGACTGCAAACCACACCAGTCACACACATATACTTGGTTTCTCCTGGGGACAAAAATACACAGCCACTCCTGCATAGCCACAATGATGTACATATAGCCACCACAGTTATAATGGTTAGACACACTCTGTTCGTGCCCACAGGAGGCAATCGCTTGCACACGGCTGCAGACACATAAAGGGTAGTGACTGCCACCTGTGCATGGTCACATGCATGCAGATCTAAAAGCACACTCCTAAGGCCAGACTTGTAGACTTATGTCCTCAGTGAGTCAGTCCCACACATGCCACTGGCCGGCCCCCAGCTCACACACAGCTAGGTTACCCCTGAGTTGGAGCACTTGGAGAGAGCCAACACAGAGACATCTGGACCCAGTCAAACAGACATGGATGATTATCTCACTACGCCCCCCACATTCGAAGGTCTCTCTCGAGTCATCACAAGACAGCAGCATCCAGCATCACATCTATCACATACAGAAAGAAGATGACAGCCACTGTGCAACATTACACACATGTATCCAATCTCCTGCTTCCCTTGTACACACAGTTCCACAGACAGCATCTCTTGCAGATACCCTTATAACCATGCAATCATGATGGCAGACATATCCAGGAGACACACACACGCATTTACATACAGCCAAGACAGTTGTTCCCATATAAAATGTCATAGAGAGGCCATTCACATGCAGCCATATGTACATGGTCAGACAGATACATAAGGCTATCACTGCCACCCCTGTCCCAACAGCCATCATATGATCAGTTACCTGGTAGTCAAACACACATGCTGAGGAGGCAGATAGGTGCTGCCACCTACACAGATGTCACATGAGCCTTACCTCATAGGCGATGGGAAGTACCAGACGATACCAAGTAATCAGGTAGTCAGCGTCACCCATGCGGGGCCCATTCCAGGGCACATTGACAGTGAAGCCTATACCGGCAGCTCGGCCTACTTGGCTACTGGCACCCTCGTCCCCCATGGGGAAGAAAGTGCCACGGTCGTACCGGTGCAGGGACACGTATAACACACTGCCAGGGAGAGGACAGGATGAGAAAGGGGCCGTGACAAGTTGGGGGCTACAAACATTCCTGCAAGGATGGTTTAGCACCCTCCCACACCATCTCTTGCTAATAGTCCCATCTCTCACCTGGGGTCATCTTCAAACATGTGCTGAGTTCCATTACCATGATGAACATCCCAATCCACGATCAGGATCCTGGGGGAGAGAAATAGCTCCTTTTAGCAGCCTAAGACATTTAGCCCTAGGAGAAGGAGGGCTATGCCTAGCTAGACTCCTGGGGTCTTCGGAAGCATTTGGTGCTGGGTAGTAGGACCATGGGTATCTTGAGAAAGCATTGGCCATCATTTTAAGACTGAAGGCCCAACCTTGGTTTCCAAGGGCTTTTCTATGGGCCTAAACAAGTACTTGAGGCTAGGTCCTAGATTCTTCTGAGGACTGACTAGGGAACAGGGCTCCAGGCCTGGTTGGCTAATGTCACATGCCAAACCCTAAGTCTTTTGGAGTAAGTACCTGGAGCCTGGGCTTGGGCTTTGTTGGAATGACCTGTTAAGGATCAGGAATGTTGGTGTCATATCCTAGATCCTAGTTTATTAAGCATCTAGATGACATGATCTGGTGACACTACTAACACAGCCCTTCTGCCTCTTTTGTAGTCAAGTGCTGTCCAGTGGACCCTTGCTTGTTTCTACAAAAGCTCCTGGGACTGTACCATGGATCTGCCAAGTGAGACTGAATGGGGGGAGGAGTGTCCAGGTTCCTTCAAAGATTGGGTTTTGGGGTCTCTGGGCAGCCCTCACCGCAGGGCACGTCCAGCAATGGCTTGGGCATGGCGAGCAGCCACAGCCACAGAGTTGAAAAAGCAGAAACCACAGGCAGCATCTGGTTCTGCATGGTGTCCCGGAGGGCGCACTATGGCAATGCCATTCAAAACCTGTGGAGAGGAGCAGTAGGTAAGACCCTGGCCCTCACTCCTGTCCTTTCCCAGCAGAGACTCTCCCACTGCCTCTGTCCTCCTAAGGAGGGGCAGGGAGTGCTCTCTTTCTATTTCCTTAGGACCTCATCTCTTCAGCCAAACTGCCCTGGCACCCCAAGAAGACGTACCTCTCCTGAAAGCACAGCTTCCACCAGGCGGCAGGCGGCGCCTGCAGCAAGCTGGGCACAGGTGAAAGTGCTGGGGCAGATGTAGATGGAGTCAAAGCTGGCACCTTCACGGTGCAGCTCCCGGGTTTTCATCTTTTCTGTGGCCCGGATACGCTCGACGTACTCGGCGCTGGAGACACAGAGAACAATGAGCCACAAGCTCATCCCCAGGTAAGGTCTTAGACCTCTCTAGGTGGGCAGTAGCTCCACCCACCATGGAGTAGAGCCCCAGGCCCTACTCCTAGAACTTCCCTATAGTCCTGCACCTGACCTACCCCTGGCACAGGGTCTGACCTGTGGCAGGTAAGAAGCTCAGCATCCATGGCAGGCCGCACAGGCAGGATGAGGCAGCGTGATGCAAGGCCCAGCTCCTCTAGGTGGCACATGATCCGTAAGATGCGCTGAGGTGTCTCAGGATGATGACTAGTGGTGGGGGAAAACGAGAGCTGGGGGTGTAGTGACTGAGGTGAGTGATCAACCATCACTCACCCCCGCCCTTGAACACATACTTGTCCCACAGGTTGCAGTGGCTCATCATTTTTTCGTCATAGACCAGCCCAGTGCGTTCCTGCAGCGCTGGCCATGCATCCAGTGGTAGTGCGGCAGTCTCCCAGCGGCCTTCCTCATCTTCCTCTTCTTCCACTTCATCTTCCTCCTGGGGCTCGACTAAAGAGGGGCTCAGATCACCTGACTTCCTGAGTCTGGATCCCATCATATTCTGAGACAAATGTGGCCCAGACAAAAGGCCTAAAACCCACACGGCCCTCCCCACCAAGGCATCCCAGGAAAGCAAGAGGGGATCTGGAAGAGAATATCCCCAGTTGCTCATTCCACGTCTGATGCTGATCATGCCCATTCCCCACCTCCTACCTGATCCCGCAAGGATCTCCCAGAAGGGTTCAAGGGCTTCTAGAGTGCAGGAGATAGAAGTCCGGGCACTGGGGGTGGTGGAAGCAGGTATGTGATAAAATGGCCCCCAGGCAGGTAATAAGGGCTCTCCATTTCCCCATTTCCCCTGGCTCACCTTGCGCAAGGTGCACCAGGGGACTCCAGCATGGGGCAAGGGTCTCCAAGAAGAGTGTGGAGTGATGCACTGACACCCTTAGCCAGGGCATGGAGGTTATAGCCACCCTGGGGAAGGAGTTGTTGGGGGAGGCAAACAGAGGGCCAGATATTACCAAGGAATATACTGATACTGATAACAGCAACATTATTCGGGTACATACTATATGTCAAGCAACAAGAAATTTAGAGGGTGACTTCATTTAACTCACTGGACAATGATGTAAAGTGATTAGCAGAGGCACAAAGAATTATGAAGTAGTAAGGCTGAGCAAGGAACAACTTTACAAAAAAAGTCCCATGAAAAAATTTCAAGAATCAATTATTTATGATTATGAATGTTCTGCCTGCATGTGTGTATGTGTACCACGTGTGTGCCTGTTAGATCCCCAAGAACTGGAGTTATGGACAGTTGCAAACAGCAAGCTGGAATCGAACCAGGGTCTCTGCAAGAGCAGCAAGTGCTCTCAACCACTAGACATCTCTTCAGCCTCCAGGAAGAAAACTCTTGTTCTGTTTTTAGTGGTACTGAGAATGGAACCCCTTGCATATATCAGCTAAGCATTCTACCTTGTAACTCCATCTCCAAGGCCCAAAGATCTGTTCTTAAGCCTTCAAGTGGGCCAGTGAGATGGATCAGAGGATAAGAGGGCTTGCCACCAAGCCTGATAACCTGAGTTCAATCCCCAAAAAGAATCTACATGGTGGAAGGAGAGAGCCAACTCTCACATGTTGTCTTCTGACCTCCACACACATCATGGTACATGCGCATAGTGTATGTACATGTACACACAAACAATAAATAAACAAATATAAACATTCTAAGTCCTTTAGGACCTCCAGGGTTAGATGAAAGTGAGTTACTCACCTCCAGAGACAGAATCAACTTGCCTCCTGCCAGACCCATGAGCAAATGCGTTAGGTGGGCAAAGCCTGGTGGAGTGGTAGCCATCTCTCCCTGCGGGAACATGAAGCTCAGTGTACTTCCCTTTGCCTACCTAACACCCGGAGAACTTGCCTTACCTTGGGGTCTCCTTGGAGGGCATCAAATCCAGCAGCCACCAGGACCAGCTGAGGCTGAAACTGGGGAAGGGAACAGACTATGTGAGAACACCCACCTTCACAGGTCACCCCTCAGTGTTGCCCCCCACCCTCAAATTTCCTGGATCTCCAAGACCTCAAAGGCAACTGGCAGCAGGATGTTCAGGAAAGCAGCAATGTAGTCAGCATCCCGCATCCCCACCTACAGACACAGAAACGTGATACAACAGTCAGTCACCTTTCTTGAGCCCGTGGGAGGGCAAGGCTAGGCTCATTTTAGGTGAGAAGACACTGACCTGGTTCCAAGGTACATTGATGGTATATCCTTGGCCTTGGCCAAAACCTGTAGTGGACCAGTTAGAAGCCTTAAGGTGGGGCCAGAACCGACCCTGCTCATATCGGTGGATGGAGAAATACAGGACACTAGAGGCAGAGAAAGAAATGTTGAGAGTTGCATAGTATGTGTTAACTCAACCCCTAGCATAGAAAAAATTAGGGAATTGAAGAGTCAAACTTAAGGCTCCCAACCTACAGCTGCAGGGATTTATTCAAGTTGTTTTTTACCAACTACTCAACTCATTCTCTTGCTCATAAGTTTTTCCGATTCTCAATCTATACTCTTAATTTTTCCATTAATTTACCCTCCTACTCATTCACCAACTTATTCCTTTTCCCATTCATTACTCCTCTCCCAGTGGTTTACCCCTTTTTTCTACATATTCATTGATCTCCGACAGGAACCCTTCTGTCAGTGTCCACCCAATTTTAGACTCAAGTCTAAGGTCTCACGAGCTACTGAGTCGACCCAGGAACCTGAGCAATGATGACCCTATGAGGCTAGTCATGTCTTCTCACTGCTCCCCACAGTGTTATCATCCCAAGGTAATAACACCACTGAATACTGGAGGTCCATGGGGGTCTTACGGGAACGTATCTGCACAAGCCAGCCAGGGCTGTAAAGAGTCTCATCAAGTCCATGCTGGGGAACTTCGAGATTCCACGGAAAGAAGTGGAGAGATGCAGAGGCCAGTAATGAGGAAGGACAGGGCTTGGTTTTGTGTGTGTGGAGCTAAAGTGAAGGATGGTGTCTGAGGCTGCCATAAAGTCAGTGAGGACAGTCTTTTTTCCTTAATACTTCACAAAGCCATCTCTACTACTTCTATTTCATAGATGAGAAAGTGCCCACAGGGGTAAGAAGGACCACGACACAAAACTGATGCTGAAAAGCCACAATGTGCAGGTTCTGACTAAAAAGGTAAAATCTGTAGGCTCAGACAGAGAGGACATATGTACATGTTCTGGGTGAAAAGACACGATGAACAGATTCTAGCTAAAAAGGCATGATATTCAGGTTGAGACTAAAAGAACATGATGGACAGATTCCAACAGAAAGCAGAGGGCTGGGGGGTTAACTCTGCTTGGGGAAAAATGAATAATCTATCATTTATCTGTCCATCTGTCTATCCAGTTACCCTCTATCTGATCAACTACACCGTGCCTTGTTCCAGTAGTCTGAGGCAGTATCCTACCCGCCTCCTTTTTATGGGAAATGAAAAAATAGGGGTGAGCAAAGAATCTAGACTAATTCAAGAAAGATATCTTCATATATGTTGATAATATAGCTGTGAAATTTAAAGGATATAAAAATAATACTTAAAAATGATTAAAAGTATCTTGGAATTGGGGAATGAAATCCCCGTAAAAAGCTTTAACCTGCATGGGTCCATGCTAGGTCCTCTGTATATACGCTGTAGTTGTTTAGCGTGGTGTTCTTGTGGGGCTCCTAACAGTGGGAGTTGGGCTGTCTGACTCTTTTGCCTACTCATGGGGCCCTTTTCCTCCTACTGGGTTACCTGATCCAGCCTTGGTATGACGGTTTGTGCCTAGTCTTATTGCATCTTGTTATGCTGTGTTCGGTTGATACCCCTGGGAGGCCTGCTCTTTTCTGAAGGGAAACAGGAGTGGATCTGGGGGAGAGGGGAAGTGTGGGGGGCAGGATGGAGAGGAGTGGCAGGAGGGGAAACTGCTGTCAGGATGGAACATATGAGAGAAGAACAACAACAATAAAGCGCTGGTCTTGAGTGGGTAGAGGATGATTCTTTGTTTTGGTTTTGATACAGGGTTTCTATTATGTAGCTCTGGCTGGTCTACAGCTTGTTATGTAGACTAGGCTGGCCTTGAACTCACAGAGAACCACCATGCCCAGTCTGGATTATTTAGTTTTGTTTGCTTAATTATATTATTTTAAAATTTCTGACACTGACATGTAAATCTTGGCTTTAAACCTTCAGCAAAGTAATGAGTAGAGGAGAGTAAGAATTTTCCTCGGGGGAATAAATAAGCGAAGACTTGAAGAAACCCAGCTCCCCAACAGCTCTCAGTCAGAGAACAGAAAACAGCACTCATCAAGTGTGGTGGTGCATGCTGTGATCCTCGTACTTGGGAAGCAGAGGCAGGTAGATCTCTGTAAGTTCAAGGCCAGCCTGGTCTACAGAGTGAGTAGCCAAGGCTACATACACAGTGAGACCCTGTCTCAAAAGACAAACAAGTAGCATCCAAGGAAACTAGGTTTATAGAGTAAACAGAAGAGGATTTTATTTTTATTGATTGATTGATTGTGTGTGTGTGTATGCTGCTATGTATTGAATTGAGGGCTTTACACAGCCCAGTAGATGTGTGTATGTGTATTCATATGTATATGTGTCATGTAAAAGACAAAGGACAACCTTTGGTGTTGTTACTCCAGAATCATCCACCTTGTTTTTTGTGATAGGGTCTTTCATTGGCTTAGAGCTCATCAAGTAGGTTAGGTTTGCTGGTCACTGAGCCCCAGGGATCTGCCTGTCTCTGCCACTCCACTACTTGGGATTGTAAGTGTGTACCATCACTCTGGCTTTTTAAAATATGGGTTCTGAGGATCAAAGTCAGGTCCTCAGAAGCGATTTACTGACTGAGCCATCCTCAGACTCCAAAAGGATATTGTACAGTGAGTTCCACCAACTTCAAGTATAACAGTGGACTGATAGAACAGGTTTACTCTCTACCTTTCTGACACCCCATGCAAAGGACAGTAGAGGTGCCAGCCATAGCAATGCATATATATATAATCTCAGCACTCCGGAGGCTGAGGCAGGGGGATTGAGACTTTAAGGATAATTTAGGTTACATAATGAGACTATATTTTACCCCACACCCCCAAAAGGCTTATTCAAGTCTTACTCATTTTCTCAGACATGATACTGAGGTTCATGCTTTTTTTAAAATGCTGGGGAGGGAAGCTAAACCCAAACTGTAAGAAACAGTTCTACCACTGAGCTATACCTCCAATGAGTAATATGTTTGCTAAAAATGAATCCCTAATTTTAAAAGATACATTCGAGAATTTATGCAGAAATAATCCAGGATTAGAGTAGAGGGTGTAGATATGGATGAAATAAACTGGCTTATTAATGCTGAAGCATTTAACCCAGGTTGCCACAAACAAACAAAATAAAGAACACAAGTGGAAGAAATTTAAAAAGATAAAACAGAAGAATTAGTTAAGTGTTAAAATAGTAGAGATGACAGAAAGAGCCAGAGATTAAAGATTAGAAAATGAAGTGAGGAGCTGGAGAGATGACTCAGTGGTAAAAGAGCACTGGCTGCTCTTCCAGAGGGTCTAGGTTCAAATCCCAGCACCCACACGGCAGCTCACACCTGTCTGCACACCTGTACAGTTCCAGGGAATCTGACACACACCTTTATCAAGGCTGAGGATTATAAAAAGAGATGCTGGGGGCTGCAGAGATGGCTCAGAGGTTAAGAGCACTTACTGCTCTTGCAGAGGACCCCGGTTCAGTTCCCAGCACCCCCATGGCAGTTCACAATTGCCTTTAGCTCTAGTTCCAGGGGATCTGACTCCCTCTTCTTACATCTGCAGACTCATGCACACCCATGGTATACATCCATACACTAAGGAATACACATAAAAATAAAATTAATTAAATAAAAAATGCACTCTATACCCCCTCCCCCAAAGTGGCATTCTTTTTTCCCTGGTATTTGCAAAGTCCAACCTAATGCCTGGATCTTTTCCCACTGTCCCTGAACTTGAGATCTATATCAGCAGACATCCTGTTTCCATTCTGGGGAAATGCTTTTTAGGAACACAGATCTACAAATAGCACAGCACAGTAATCTCATGATGGCCTCAAGAACAGCCCTTCAATTTGAGGTATAAATAGCCAAAAGGAGACACTTGAGGAAAAGCACCAATATAAAAGAGAAGAACCAAGAAGATAATTCAGTTAGCCTCGGAATGAAGAGCTATAACATGGAATGGGAGAAAGCTTAAGGTACTTTTAATTCTTTGTTTCTTTCAAGACTGGGTTGCTCTGTGTAGCCCTGGCTGTCCTGGAACTCGCTCTGTAGACCAGGCTGACCTCGAACTCAGAGATCTGCCAGCCTCTGCCTCCCAAGTGCTGGGGGATTAAAGGCGTGTGCTACCAAGGCCCAGCTCTAATTCTTATTCTATAAAAACAAGCTCAGGAACGAGAGGGTATAAAAACAAGAGAGAAAGAAAATGCTTGTGCCGATCAAAAAAATGTCTAGCTAGAGAGGGTGGCACATGCCTGCAGTCTTAGCATTTGGTAGGCTGAGAAAGGAGGACCTCAGGTTGGAGGCCAGCCTGGACTGCAGAGAATAAGATCAAAGCCAGCTTGGGCTACACAGTAAGATCTCATCTCAAAAGAAAAAAGTCAGAGTACATAATTCAATGGGAGGACTTACAAACAGAATTAAGGCCACCACTCAGGACACTGAGCAAAAGTAAAAAGAGATAGAAAACATGAAATAAGCCATCTAGGAGAGGAGAGATGTCAGCAGTTAAGGGGATTTTTGCTCTTCCAGAGGACCTGCATTTGAGTTTCAGCATACAGACAGCTCACAACTGTAAATCAAGTTCCAAGGAATCCAATGCCCTTTTTTGGCTTCCAAAGGTACTAGACATGCACACGGTACAGACATACATGCAGGTAAAACAGCCACATACATAAATTTTTTAAAAATAAAGGTTTATTTTTAAAAAGCCGCACAGGGCTGGGGATGTAGCTCAGTTGTACAATGCTTGCCTAGCATGCATGAAACCTTAGGTTCGACCTCTAGTGTCTTAGAAACCAGGCCTGGTGGCACAGGGCAGGAGGAAGAAGAGTTCAAACTGAAAAAAAAATCCAGACCATCCCTTAGGATTGAGGGTTTGGAGCAGGAAGTCAAAATGAAAAGGCAAAGAAGGGAAATGAAAATTAGATAAAACTGTAAGAATAAAGTGGACTAGATGAACCTTCATTTGAAAAACTAGGTAGCAGAGAAACAAAAGAGATCTGTTTAGAGGAGGTGGATGTGGCACAGGTCTTGGCCTCCCTGGCATCCATGTGGGAGAGGCAGAGTTAAGACCCCTGCACTTCATGGGCAGAGGGCAAGGGACTCTCATCCCAGACAGCAACATACTTGCCCTGGCCCTGGAGTGTAAAAGGAAAACACCTCCTGTCCCCACTTAAAAACAATAGGTCATCCTCAGCTATATACAGAAGTAGAGGCCAGCCTGCGCTAGAGACCCTGTCTCAAAAGTCAAATCAAAACAAAACAAAATTCCGTAAACGATCCAGCCAGGAGGTTTAAAATCTAATAGGAGTCTGAGAGGACAGAGAAACTAAAGTTATTATCAAAGATGTAATATAAGAACATGTAGCCATGCGGTGGTGGCGCACGCCTTTAATCCCAGCACTCGGGAAGCAGAGGCAGGTGCATCTCTGTGAGTTCCAGGCCAGCCTGGGCTACAGAGTGAGATCCAGGACAGGCGCCAAAACAGAGAAATCCTGTCTTAACCGCGCCCCCCCCCCCCAAAAAAAAACCACGTGCAAAGATAGAAGGTGTAGGCTGCAGATGTAAAATGTCAACCCACTGCTAAAGAGACATTAACAGGACCTAGAGTTCACGTGGGATAGCAGATGGCAAAAAGAGGAGAACCTAAAGCCTTTCAGAGAGCAAAACAGATCAACTCAGAAAGAAGTGAGAAAGACAACTGGCATCAGCACCAAGTGCTGGAAAATAGTAAAGCAACGTTTAAAGAACAAAGCATCAAGATAGGACCAAGGGCCACGAGAGCACAAGTGGATTCTATATAATAAATTGGATGGACGGCCAGATAAAACAACTACTATTTACAATATAATACCCCCTAGTAGCAAACACTTAACCATTTTCTTTCTTTCTTCCCTCCTTCCTTCTTTCTTTCTTTTTTTTTTTTCTTCTGAGACAGGGTTTCTCTGTGTAGTTTTGGAGTCTGTCCTGGAATTCACTCTATAGACCCAGGCTGGTCTTGAACTCAGAGATCTACCTGCCTCTGCCTCCCGAGCGCTGGGATCAAAGGTGTACACCATCACCGCCTGGCTTCACTTAATCATTTTCTCCAGGAAGGATAAACTAGCACCCTTCTGGGGTAAAGTCTGGCAGCATACACCAGACCTTAAAGCATGTCGATCTGCCTGACTCAGCAACCCACTATTAGAAATTCATTATACAGCTATACCTAGAGATGTAAATTCTGTATTTACAATACTATTCACAGTAGAATTGTCTACAATAGCAAAAACTAGTAAGTATCTTAAATGTCCTAGGATTAAATGACCAGAGCTACAAGAATGCAATGAAATACTCTACAGTCTTTACAAAAAATAGGATGCTTTTGTAGCGTCAACATGGTAAATGTGTCCCCAATACAGTTAGATGAAATAAAGCTGCTAATGAACATATGGAGAATTATCCCATTGGTAGTATATTATTAATAATAGTGAATATCTCTGTATACATAAAAATCTATGAGGCTAAAACCTGAACTGTCAACTTCTTTTTATTTTCTGCGTATATGTGTGTGGGTGTTTGCATGCTACGGTGTATATATGGAGGTCAGAGGACAACTTGTAGGAGTTGATTCTCTCCTTCCACCATGTGGGTTCTGGGGATCAAACTCAGGTTGTTAGGCAATCACCTTTACCTGCTGAGCCATCTTGCCAGCCCCCTATTTAATTTTAAAAAATAGTTTGAAGTACTGTTAAAATAAACAAAGTATTAATTTGAGGTCCACTCCAGCTTAGGGGTAAATTGTTGAACAAGATCTCCAATTACTTTTAAGTCAAATCCCACCTCTTTCACTTGTCTGCATAACACTAATTTCCTACTCTGCATATGGTTCAGTTTCACCATCTGTAAAATGGGAACTCCGTAGTTCTTGCTTCAGAATTTGGAGAGAGCAGACAACCAGGACGCAGTATATTTCCTCATCCCAGGCCAACTCACTCAATGTGAATGCCTTTCCCTCCTTCCTAACACCTATGGCTGGGTCTCACAGAAGTAGTTAGGAGTCCAGTATTTAAGGTGGGACTTGAGATATACCTGGGGTCCTGGTCGAAGATGAACTGTGTTCCTTGACCATGGTGCACATCCCAATCCACAATAAGAATCCTGTGGGCAGGAGAGAGGAGAGCTCTGTACAAGGGGATCAAGTGAAACAGGGAGGAAGAACCTAGACCATGGTACCCCTCTTCCATGCTACCCACATTCCATCCATCATCTGCTGCTGACCTCTGAATGCGGTGCTTCTTTTGAGCATAGCGGGCAGCCACAGCCACATGGTTGAACATGCAATACCCATCCATAAGACTGCGCTGGGCATGGTGTCCAGGAGGCCTAAGCAAGAAAGGGAAGGCTACAGATTTGGGAGTCTTCCTCCCACGCTCCCCATTCTTCCAGCATAGATTCTGTCAATCTGCCAGCAACTGAGTAACTGTGGCCTCTGAAGCTTTGCAACCCCCAATCCAATGCTCTCTCATCAAAGGAGATTTAAACACAACCATTAAAATGTATCCACGTGCCAGGCGGTGGTGGTGCACACCTTTAATCCCATCACTTGGGAGGCAGAGGCAGGCAGATCTCTGTGAGTTCAAGGCCAGCCTGGGCTACACAGTGAGTTCCAGGACAGCCAGGACTACACAGAGAAACCCTGTCTGGAAAACAAACAAACAAACAACTATACAATACAGTGAAATTCTGTCTCAAAACAAAACAAAAAAATCAACAGAGAGAGACAGAGAGACAGACAGAGAGAGAGAGAGAGAGAGAGAGAGAGAGAGAGAGAGAGAGAGAGAGAGAGAGAGAGAGAAAATGTACCCATGCATGCATTTGGCATCGTGGCACATGCCTGTAATACTAGCACTCGAACATGTTGAAGCAGGAGGATCTATATAGTTCAAGGCCAGCCTGGGATATATAGTGAGCTCCTGTCTCAAAAAATAGAACATGAAGTTAGTTGTCCATACATACTTTCTCATACCCAGTCATTTTGCTACATGGTCTTAGCTGAAAACTATGTAGTAAACATTGCTATGTTCGCACTGGGGATTTAGCTCAGTGGTAGAGCGCTTGCCTAGCAAGTGCGGGGCTCTGGGTTTGGTCCTCAGCTCTGGGAAAAAAATTGCTATGTTCATAAATGTGCCACTGTTATTTGCTATGGTATTTGAAGCAGCAAATGACTGAAAAGCAAAATGCCCAACAGCATGAGAGTGACTAACTTAGAAAGTATATTTCACAATGGATTCTCACTCAGGTATAACCCATACACTGTTAAGAGAAAGCTTTCAAAAACATCTAAGTTGTTGTTGTTGTTGTTTAATACACAGAAGCTGGGCGTTAGTGATGCACGCGTTTAGTCCCAGCACTCAGGAAGCAGAGGCAGGTGGATCTCTGTGAATTCGAGGCCAGAGCTAGTTCTCAGGCAGCCAAGGCTACACAAAGAAACCCTGTCTTGAAAAAGCAAGAAAAAAAAATGCAGTTTGGAAGGGCATCGTGTGCTTACTGCCCCTGGAGATTAAAAAGGGAGCGAGGACAAAGGCTAGCTTCTGCATTTTATCAGTACTAGGGAGTCGGCTGTGGCAAGATAGGCTATGATTTTCCATGGCAACAACAAAACAGAAAATGCTTTGGGCGAAAATCTGAGATGTCACAGTTTGTTGGCTGCATCTGGATTTCAAGATGTTCCGATAGAACTGGCTGCATCTGGATTTCGAGATGTTCCAGATAGGAAAGAAATATGTACCTGTGAATAAGTGGACTATGATACTTATCACTTACTAATGAGACTATCTGTGAGAGGACACAAGTTACTGATTACAATGACTACCTTTCAGGAGTGCAGCCACGAGGAGAGGAGAGAGGAGAATTTTTATTGAACTCCCCTTTGTACCATTTCGCTCTTTAACCACATGAACATACAGTACCCAAGTTAACATATTTTACATTTGAGGGAAAGACTTTTTTTTTTGAGAAAGTATCTTATGTAGCCCAGGCTGGCCTCAAATTTACTATATAGCTCAAGGTAGCCTTGAACTCCTGATCCTTCAACATTCACCTCCAAAGTACTGGTATTACAGACATGGACCTCCATACACCACTAGGTAGGAAGATTTCTTTTTAAATGTAAGAAACTGCCAGGCAGTGGTAGTGCAACCCTTTAATCCCAGCACTCAAAAAGCAAAGGCAGGAGGATCTGTGAGTTCAAGGCCAGCCTGGTCTACAAAGCAAGTTCCAGGACAGCCAGGGCTACACAGAAGAATCCTGTCTCAAAAAACCCAAATAAAATGAAATAAAAATTTAAGAAGCCAAAAGCTTGAGTCCTACCTGATGACGGCCATGCCATTCCGAATCTCAGCCCCCAGGACCGCATCTACCAGCCTGAGGACAGAGCCTGTGGCCAGGCAGGCACATGAGTATGAGTTCTGGAGACAGTGGAGAGCCAGAGAGAAAGAATGAGAAAGGACTATCCTATCTATTTAGCCTCTTTTTCCCACAGTGAGGTTGGCATGGATATGGGAGACCCCGGAATTGCTGCCACACCCTGGCCTCACAGTTCTCATGCATACCGGATGCAGATAAACTGAATCATAGGTGCCTGCTAGTATGCGAAGTTCTCCTTCATTCATGTACTGGGTTGTTTCCATCAGATCAATGTATTCCAGGCTAGGGACACGAGATAGGGGATAAGATTTAGAACCCTATCCTCCCTCCCAGCCACACCTTCTACAAACCAGGCCTCTGGCCAAATCAGGCCCCCACAGTCAATCTAGGGGATCAGCGGAGATGTAGGCCACAATCCCTATTTCTTCTCTAGCCCACTTCGGCTCCACGGCTGGACCCACTGGCCACCCCTCCACCCCACCCCCCACCCCTGCCTTTTGGAGCTCAGCTCAGATACTCTGCCAAGCTAGTTTTCTGTGAGTCACACTGTACCAGGCCTCTTCCTCTGAGTTCCTACAGCCCCCTAGGAGCCTCCTGATCCCTCTGCCAGACATCCACCATCAGTTAACAAACCACATTATAAGAACTCGAGCCTATCCCAGGCTTAGGATCTATAAGATGCTGTCAGGTACCTGACAAACATATTGACCGTCCTGAAGAACTAAGATTTTTTTCTTTGGGGGGGTGGGAGGCTTTTTCAGACAGGGTCTCACATAACCCAGACTGAACCTGCTATGTAGGTGTGGACTGTCTTGAATTCCTGAATCTCTTGTTTTCCTGTCCCAAGTGATGGGATTATAGGCATGTAATCACACCTAACTGGAACTTAGGTTTTTTGAGCAATGACAGATTCAGAGAGGCTCAGGGACTTGTCCAAGGCTGGCCACGGAGTCTATGGATTCTTTCCTGGTTGGGCCAGAGCATCCTCCTCCCCGCCCAACCCCACTCCCAAGTTTTCACCTGTGAACCAACATCAGCTCCTCCTTCTCAGCAAACCGGGCCTGGGGAGACACAAGGGATAAAGGGGCTAGAGCACAGGCCATGCCTAGGTCCTGCCAGTTCCCTGCCCACCACCCGCATGCCGGGGGCGGGAGTTCACCTGAAAAGACACACAACGGTCCAGGAGGCTCTCCAGAATCAGCTGCTCCTTGATGGCATGGAGCCGCTCGGGGCATTCAGGGAAGCTAGGGAGGCAGAGATGCAGTGACTGACTGACACTGACACACACACACACACACACACAAGCACGACACTAGGGACCATATCTGCTCTAGTCACATCTCCCATCCACACCCCTCCCCCACAGCTGCTCATCCCTTCCCTGTGGCATCAGCCTTTCTTCTTGTCACTTCTGAAGTCATACACTTTCCTCCAACAGTCCCTGCTGTACACAGCAGCAGCCAGTGGTGAAAATTCTACTACTCAAAACCCTTTTGTAGCTCCTACTCCATTCATAGTAGAAGCCAAAATCTGTATCACACCTAGAAGGCTCTAAAAAAAGATCTGTCCTAGAGTGAGAAATCCACTGGCGTCTGCTTAAAGGGTAAAGGAATTTATTAGGAAAGAAAACTCATTAAACAGGATAGGAGAATCGTTGCAGGGTCCTGGAAGGCTGAGGTACTGTCCTCTGCTGCTCTGGCTGCCTGAGTCAGTCCACTCCACCCAATCCCACAGGGGAAAGAGACCAGCCTACGTGTGGTCTCAGGTCTTAAAGGTAGCTCCCAGCTACACCCCAGGGGCAGGTAGTTCAAGGTCATAGGCATGTAGAACAGGTATCCAGCACATCATCATCATCCAGGGGCTGTGCTTCAAGGTCATAGGTTGACAATATCCACTACCCTGTCCGCACCCTTTTTCTGACCCTATTTCTTACCACAGGCCCCCTCTTTCACTCTGTTTCGCCTACAGTGGTCTCCTTGGTCTTCAACTGAACACATACCTTTCGGCCAGGCCCATGGGCTTCAATGTCCTGTGCCTAGGACACTGTTCCAGAATGACTCCATGGCTCACTCCCTTAAGGCCCCGTTGTATTTTTATTCAAATGGCAGCAATGCCTTCCCTGGGTGTTGATTTAAGAAAACGGAAGCCCCCCTTCTACTCCAGCCTCACTCTCCCTCCCGCCTCCGTTCTTCTGGACAGCTCTACCACTCCCCTTCACGGCGTTTGAAGGCAGCTTTGTTACTGCTTTATCTCTAACCCCTCAACAAACGTTGACCATAAATGAAACCTTTTGCCATCACGAGTTAGTTTTAGGTCAGGAGAGGGGAGAGAGCTACTGTATTTGTAAACACCAGTGTAAATGATTAACAGACAATGGCAGAGGCTGGTAAAATATCTAAGATCAGATGGGAGAAAGGTAGTGGCCAGTCAAAGACTTTCGTGAGCATCCCAGTAGTTGTGAAAGTTGAAAGAGGAGGGATCAGCCAAGGGTGAAGAACCCTCTCGGCTAGAGGGGGCCTGGCATGCTGAAAGAACAGTGGGTGAGGGGAACTGAAGCAAATGAGGGCTGGCTGAATAGGTCACAAACGGTGATGTGGAGCCAGATCACGTGGAACCGTGGAGGCCAGGCTAAAGAATTCAGACTTTACCTTAAGAGCAATGCTCTGCCCTTGAAGTATTTTAAGAAAGGGAACATCATCGCAAACATATTTTTTAGGCTTCAGTGTGGAGGCTGGAAGCAGGGGACCAGTGAGGAGAGGTCAGATAGGGAATATATTTTGAACATAGAGCCAAAAAGAATAAGCAGATTCTTCTGAAAGGTAGAGCAGATACAACGTATATTTCAGCATAATGTCTCTTCCTCAAGGAAGGCTCGGGGACTCCGTGGGCTAGCTACTAGTCCAGGGCCGTCTAATAAACAAACACTTCTAGCCAAGTGTGGTAGCTCATGCCTGTAATCTCAGCACTCAGGAGGCTAAGACAGGAAGATCATCAAAAGTCTGAGGATAGCTTAGGCTAAATAGTGAGTTCCAGGACAGCCTAGGCTATGGAGTCAGATTCTGTCTCAAAACAAAAAAAAAAACACATGAACTCCTAGTCACTCTGTCTTTGTTCAAAACTTCATCCTGCTGTCAGCTGTTTAATGATCTCCCCTCATACTCACCAATCAGCTGAGAAGGGACTTTTCTACTTTGTTCACATATATCACCAACTCTTTGACACACAGCAGACACTCCATGTATGTGTTGGCTTAAAATACAACTCTTTCAAGAACGATCCCTACCTCCCTAAGTCATCTGCTTCCAGACTACAAGCTAGAATAACAAAAGATCCGTTCTTGCTTGGGGGAGAGGGGGGCAAATGTGTAAATTTCCTACTTTGGGGACAATCTGGAGGTCATCTCTCACCTGTCATCCCAAAGGCAGTGGAAGTCATTTAGCTGCTCATCAAACACCAATCCAGTACCAACCAATACTCTTGTCTCAGGGTTCAGATCCTGCAGGGGAAAAGAAAAGAAACACAGATTCACTCAGGGCTCCAATCAGAGAGGACACGGTATACTGTCCAGGATGGGGAAAATCATTGTTTTGTTTGGTAAAGAAGGACAATCTAAGCCGGGCGGTGGTGGCGCACGCCTTTAATCCCAGCACTCGGGAGGCAGAGGCAGGCGGATCTCTGTGAGTTCGAGGCCAGCCTGGTCTACAGAGCGAGTTCCAGGAAAGGCGCAAAGCTACACAGAGAAACCCTGTCTGGAAAAACAAACAAACAAAAAAAAAAAAAAAAAAAAAAAAAGGACAATCTGCAGCCAGGCTTCTCTCACCAGCTCTTGGAGCCCCGCGATCAGGTCTTCTTCAACTGCTTGGCTGAGCTTCTTCATTTTGCCTTTTTTCTTTACCTCTGCTAGATTGGGGCTGGAGTGGGGTGCAGTACCCTTCTTAACACCTCGCTTCTGCCAATCAGAGACAAGGATCAGTCTGGACATGGCTGGCTGCCTTTCCCTCCCCCCTCATCAGGGTCGGTCTGGGGCCTCACCAAGGTGGCGCTGGAGTCTTGAGGGGGCGACTGGGGATTGTGCCTACCCCTTCGCTGCCTGGTAGAAGAATCTTGGCCGGTGGAGGTCATGGCTGAAGAGCCTTCGCCCCTGGCACGGCTCTAGCAGGGGTGTAGCTGGCGGTGAGGCCCCTGGAGTGTCCAGAGGACCCACATCCCTGTCCCTTTCCAGGCCCCGCCCCTATTCTAGATCGCATCCTTCACGCTGTTCCATTCCCGTGCCTTCTAAACCCTGCCCCTCAAGGCCATCTTCTGCCACCGAGGAAACCTGGTCTCGCCCGTTCCCCTCGACCTCGCTGCTTTTATACGAGTCTCTTTCCTCATCTTGCCTTTTCACTAAACAAGGTAACCTCAGGCTCAATCCGGCTCTTCTAAAACCTGCCCTTTCCAATCACCGCCCCCCCACCCCTCTACTCCCCAAACCCTTTCATACCTCTAATCCTCGCCCAGAACGCTTGGCTTCTGCAACCTGCCCCCTTCAGCCTATCTCCCTGGATAATCACCGACCCTTCTAGTCCGCCAGGCCAGGCTGCGGCGGCCTCGGCACCACCCTTAAAGACTCACTTAATTCCACCTCCTATCGGGCCGAACTCGCACCTTCCACAGCCTCTGATCTGGCTCGGATCCTTTCACCGTGCCCCGCTGCTCAGGGGAAGCCCCTTTCGAGCGGAATCCATGAGACCCCACCCCCTTCTCCGATGCCTACCGTTTAACCAAGCTCCCTCCGCCAGAACCAAGCCTCCGCCCCCTTCAAGCTCCCTCCGCCAGTCCCAAGCCTCCGCCTCCTTCCCGCCCGGCCTTCGACGCTGGCCAATCCTTACCGCTCTACTCATGGAGCGCTGCCCCTTTCTCAAACTCCGCCCTTGGCTAGCACCGCCAAATTCCCGGCGACCTGTGTGGCCCCGGGCACCTGATCCCTTCTTTTCCATTGGGCTGAGCGTTTTAATTTGCCCGCCCACGACCAGCCCACAGCGCGGATCTAGTCCGTCCCCAACGTCTCTGGTGAATGCCACACCTCTCGCGAGCTCACCCAACTAGCGGGTCGTATTGCGCCTGCGTAAAAGATGACTCACTGGTTCGAGACCCGGATCTGCCCCTAGCAATAACCGCCCCCTCCCCCTAGTCCTCACCCCCCCCCCACCCCCATCCACTGCCGCCATTCAGATTGCTATGGCTGCCATTCTCAATTCCAGGCTAGTCATCTTAGGAGCCCTACGGACCGGCATCGGTTGTGCCGTGCAGTGATTCGAGAGGAAATCAAAGAAGCTAGGGCGTTCAGAAGGGACGTCTTCTCGGGGATTCCTGCACTGCGCTTGGTGATGACGTAGCTAGGGCAGGCAGGTGACTAGTCCGATATAAAGGCTAGTGATAAACTATGGACGGATAAGGACTATGGCTGCTGGTAGCCAAAATGATAGTGATGATAAGTGTTGAGAATTTTCTGAGTTAGTAGTCACTAAGATGGTACTCAAGAAGCATCTCCGAATGTTAGCCATTCACATTCTGCGAAAATGGGTAGTGCACTGAAGGAGTCGCTAAGTGGCACACCTTGGCAGTAAGCCACACCTCTGTGATGTCGTTCGCATCGTTATGGCTGCTTTGCAGACAACACACAGAGGGACTTAGACATATGATCTTGGACAAGTCACAGCTCTGTCCTCAGTGTCCTTATCTGTAAAATTGTGATGCTAGTACCAAGGCCAGAATGGACTTGGAAGGGATGTTTCTCCTGGATGGCAGCTCAAGCTACCTGCCTCCCTCCACTGAGTAATCAAACTAATAGCAGGTAATGGACGGGGAGGGAAAATTGTCCCCGTGACTCTTTGGGACTCCCACTCTGTGTCTAAGTATCAGGCCCACAGGAGGCCAATTCTCTCCCATTTCCTACTGGGCTGTACGCTGAAGCTGGAAAGAAACTTCTGGAGTTCTGCATCACTGACTAGCAAACATTGACAATCCCATAATCCAGTAGCCAGACCCTCTGACCCTCTTGTAAATGTCAGTTTCAGCCTCCCCAATTGCTTTAAGGGCTATGGGTCTAAATCTACACACACTAAGGAAAATATATAATGAAGAATATTCTGGGGATGTGATGCCTGCAAAGCAATATATTAAAGATGATTCTTAAAAACAGGGAAGTCTCATTTCCTGTACAATCAGAAGAGGTTCCTTTACAACAGGAGTCAGTAAATTTTATGAACGGTCAGATAGAAAATAAAGGCTTTGAAGCCACATGTAATTTTTTTTTTTTTTTTTTTGGTTTTTTGAGACAGAGTTTCTCTGTGTAGCCCTGACTGTCCTGAAACTTGGTCTGCAGACCAAGCTGGCCTTGAACTCAATCCACCTGCCTCTGCCTCCTGAGTGCTAAATTAAAGGCATGCGCCACCATGCTCAGGATATTTTATTTATTTTGCCTGTATGTATGCCAGTGCCTAAGGATGCCAGAAAGGGGCACTGAATCCTCCAGGAGCTGCAGTTAGAAGTGTTTGTCAGAGCTGTTTGACGTGGTGCTAGGATTCAAGCACTGAGCTATCTCTTTAGCACAACAGTCATTTAAAACACTGGTTCTCAACATGTGGGTCACGACTCCTTTGCCAAGCTTCTATCTCCAAAAATATCTACATGGCAATTCATAACTGTAGCAAAATTACAGTTATGAAGTAACAATAATTTTGTGACTGGGGGTCACCACAACATGAAGAACTATACTGAAGAGTCGCAGCATTAGAAAGGTTGAGAACCACTGATTTAAAATCATAAAAATTGGCACACAGCGTGGCTTTTTTTCCCCGAGACAGGGTTTCTCTGTGTAGCTTTGTGCCTTTCCTGAAACTCACTCTGTAGTCCAGGCTGGCCTCGAACTCACAGAAATTCGCCTGCCTCTGCCTCCCGAGTGCTGGGATTAAAGGCGTGCGCCACCACTGCCCGGCCCCCAGTGTGACTTTTAATGGTCTCTGCTGCAGAGTTCTTGGTTTCCTTCATCTGGCTGATTTCTTTTCCAGAATGAAGGCAAATGTGCTTTGGTAGTTTTATGTCAACTTGACACAAGCCAAAGTCATCTGAGAGGAGGGAACCTCAATTAAGAAAATGCCTTCACTGAGCTGGGCATGGTGGCACACGCCTTTAATCCCAGCATTGGAGAGGCAGAGGCAGGTGGATCTGTGTGAATTTGAACCTGGTCTACAGATCGAGTTCCAGGCCTGTCAGGATGATTACACAGAGAAACCTTGTCTCAACAAACAAACAAACAAACAAAAACCAACATCAACCAAAAGACTAGGCCCAAACCCTCATATCAAGGCTGGGTGAGGTAACCAGTAGGAGGAAAAGGGTCCCAAGAGCAGGCAAAAGAGTCAGAGACAGCCCCACTCCCGCTGTTAGGAGTCCCACAAGGATACCAAGCTACACAACTGTCACATATATGTAGAGGGCCTAGTGCAGTCCCACGCAGACTCCAACCTCCATGAGCCCCTATGAGCCCTGCTTAGTTGATTCTGTAGACTGTGTTCTCCTGGTGTTCTTGACCCCTCTAGCTCCTACAGTCCTTCCTCCTCCTCTTCTGTGGGGTTCCCTGAGCTCCACCTAATGTTTGGCTGTGGGTCTCTGCATCTGTTTCCATCAGTTGCTGGATGAAGGCTCTCTGAGAACTGTTGGGCTAGGCACAGATCTGTTCTTCTTGCTGGCCATAAGGCATTTTCTTAATTAGTGATTGATATAAAGGGGCTCAGTCCATTGTGGATGGTGCCATCCCTGGGCTGGTGGTCCGGGGTTCTGTAAGAAACCAGACTGAGCAAGCCATGGGGAGCAAGCGAGTAAGCAGCACCCCTCCATGGCCTCTGCTTCAGCTCCTGCCTCCAGGTTCCTGCCCTGCTTGAGTTCCTGTCCTCACTGCTTTTGATGATGAACTGTTTTATGGAACTGTGAGATAAATAAACCCTTTTCTCCCCACGTTGCTTTTAGTCATGGTGTTTCATCACAACAATAGTAACCATAACTTAGATAGAAATTGATACCAGGAATGGTATATTATTGTGACAGACATGACCGTGTTGTTTGGGGAGGTTGTAGAAGGACTTTGGAATTTGTGGCAAGAAAAGCCATTGAGTGTCCAATGCTTGTTGAGCTGTTCTGTAGGAACTAGGAAGATAAGAATGTTGAGGGCAGTGCAGATGATGGAGGCCTGGTTTGTGAGTTTCAGAGGCAAGTTTTTTTTGTTGTTGTTTTTTCAAGACATGGTTTCTCTACGTAGCCCTGACTGTTCAGAGGGAAGTTTAAAGACTTTATTTGGGCCATTTGTTTTTTTGAATTAAGATCCTGTGGTTCTGGTCAGCTGGGGATGAAGAATCAGCTGTGATTAACAAGAGACCAGAACTACTAAAGTGAACCCTTTGCTGGGATACTGAAGGCTGGTCGGCTGGAGCTGAGAAATTAGTGGTGTGGGAAGTATTTCTTCAGAGTCAGCACACAGGCTGTGTTCCAGAGGCAGCCAAGGTTGTACCTTGCGCTAACAACTGAACTTGGTAGTGTAAGCATCACCCAGGTGGTACTGGTTTTGAAGGCGTGAAGGGGTCATGGAGAGCAGCTGAGGCTTGGCACTGTGAGAAGCTAGGAGAGGCCATTGGTGAAATGCAGCCTCAATAGCAGTTGAAGCCCAGGACTGAAGGGACCATGCAAAGAAGTTGAGGCTTTGCACCATGAAGAGAGCCTACGAGAGGCTATTGGTGAAAGTGCAGTCCAGTTGCAGCAGGAGATCCCAGCATTTTGGAGATGTCTGTCCCATGGGATGACCACCAAGAACAGCAACAGTGGAGTGGAGCCAGCCGGAGGCTAGAAGACAAGCTGTGTGTGCTGGAGAAGTGACCCAAGTCCCTCGGAGGAACACAGAAGATTGTAAGTGAATCCCAGGCATTGGACATTGAGTGATTTATATTTTTGGAGTTTGGTTTTGCTTCGATTTAATTGTGGCCATGCCCTGGTTCTCCCCCCTTGAATTAAAGTATTCAATTTATTTTTGATTTAACAGGAGCCCACAGTTGAGAGACTTTGACTTTTAAAAGGCTTTGGATTTTAAGAGAGATTGACTATTTTAAGAAGAATGAACTTTTTTTTTTTTTCCTGGAGCTGAGGACCGAACCCAGGGCCTTGCACTTGCTAGGCAAGCGCTCTACCACTGAGCTAAATCCCCAACCCAGAATGAACTTTTAATGTGTTTGAATTTGTAAAGAATATGGAGTTTTTAAAAGATATATATATATATTTTTGGTTTTTCAAGACAGGGTTTTTCTGTAACAGCCCTGACTGTCCTTGAACTCACTCTGTAGACCAGGCGGGCCTCTCCCCCTTCTTCTTCCCTCTACTCCTCCCTCTCTCTTTCCTTTCTTTTTTTTTTTTTTCTTCTGAGACAGGGTTTCTTTGTGTAGCTTCCGAGCCTGTCCTGGAACTCGCTCTGTAGCCCAGGCTGGCCTCGAACTCACAGAGATCTGCCTGCCTCTGCCTCCCAAGTGCTGGGATTAAAGGCGTGCACCACCACCGCCTGGTTCAGAATAAGATTTCTTGTGTGTGTGTGTGTGTGTGTGTGTGTGTGTGTGCATGTGCATGCACATGGAGGCCTGAGGTCAACTTTGAGCATCTTCGCTTTCCTCCTAACTGCTTTCCTATTTGTGTATGTGTGTCTATGAGTGTGGTTTGTGTGGTGTATGCATGTGTGTGCAAGTGCATGCACCTGTGCACATGTGTGGAGGCCATAGGAGGTTGTCAGGTGTCATATGTTACTTTCTGTCTCCCTTACCCCTTTTAGACAGGAGTTCTCCCTGGATCTGGAATTCATATTTTTAGCTAGGCTAGCAGCCAATAGCTCCGGTGATCATTCTCCCTCCCCGCCCACCCCGCCTCCAACCCCAACACTCAGGTTACAGGCATTCATGAAATCAGACCCAGCTTGTCTTAGGAGTGCTTGTATCCGAACCCAGGCCCCTATGGTTGTGCAGAAAG